CTTAAATAAACAGGTTTATTCTTTCCGAATACAACTTTACGATACACTTAATTTCAACAGTCGCGCTATAACAAACCATATATCTCACGTGGCCAACAATATTTTGTCCGCATACATTCAATTACTCATTACACTGTTGTCCCGTCACGTTGTGAGCGTCTTATATACTGTATGTACCAGACCAACATATATCTAGTAAATGCTAGGGCATTCCAGGATATTTCTAGAAATATGTGGCGTGATACTAGTCACTTGACCTCGCTGACGCAACAGTATGCTTTGCATGCTAATTGTGCTTCGCACAATATGTGTTGGCTTTTGATTTCACAAATTAGAACTCCTCTTTTAAATATTCTGTGTACGGGCCTGGTAATAGTCTAAAGACTTCGTTTATTATCTAGAGACAAAAGTATATTATTTATAAATACAATTAATCCGCTAGTGAAGTTAATGAGTATTCAGAGAGTTTGCAAATTCAGTGTCAGAAAAGTTATTCAGTGTTAGAAGTGAGATTTATTGGGTATATTCAGTTACTCTAATGATTAGTGAGGAAATACTGTAAGTGTATTAGTGAGATAGGCGTGCTTACCATTAGTCAATGAAATTTCTGCTAAACGTTATTAGTGAAGTAAGTTTACAACAGTTACAATAGCGTGCATTGAAAAGTTTTGTATTCGAAGTTAGGCCTTCAGGTGAGCTCCCAGTTGCACAGCGGTATGTCTGCGGACGTACAACGCTAGAAACCGGGTTTCGATACCTGTGAGGGACAGAGCCCAGATAACCCTTTGTGTAGCTTTGTGCTTAATTAAACAAACAAACAAGCCTTCAGGTGAAAGTAGCTGTAGCAAATATTAAAGGGGAAGTAAATTAATTTTATTAGTTATCGTTAAGTGGACTGGATCTGACATTATTTCTACCAAATAATCCAAAATGAATTAGTCCAACAATAGGATATGTTACAACAATACAAAACTATCAAATCTATTAAATGTCTAGCAGTGAAATAAAGAACTGAAAATTATGTTCATTAGTTATTAATACTTTGTTTGTTGTAGGTTTTATTCTAAAATTAAAAAAATAAAACAGAAAAAGTAATCAACATCATTTTAGTAGTATGTATAGATATATTAAGGAAGTTAGATTTCGAAAAGCATTGTTGTTTAAATATACGAACACGATTTAAGCACATTTTCCTAAAACCAAAAATCATAACTTTGTTAATAATTAATAAGAAAAAATTAAATGGATCGAACGTTTTTATAACTATTACTTACTGTCGGCATTATTAAGCATTTTGGTATCATTTCTTACGAATGTTTTTATATTTCTGGTTTGTTGACGAGAGTACTAACTACTCAAATAGGTGAATGATTAGGAATGTTATTCTATACAGCACCGTATTTTGAGTAATTAACCATATTTTCACTCCTAAAAAGTGAATTAAGGGATATAATTTTCATGCTAAAAAATTTAATAGTTTTAACATGCTCTCTGTGAGGATTTTTTTAAATATCTGGCTTCATAAATTTGTCATTAAAGTATTGTTTCGTTGGGTTTGTATAGTATTGCAATTCATTATTTTTTACACATTGCAACTTTGTTATGATAATCTGACTTCCTTTAATAGTATATATGAGAATGATTTAATTTAATTCTTTTAACAATGATGACGTAGTTAGGTGTGTAGATGGTAAATGATGATCTGTGTGCGTTTAAAAAAAGAAAGAAAGTGTAATACTGCTAAAAACTACATACACTCCAAAAAAAATCAAGACAAAAAGACATTATAAATACACTGAAATTGATAGATAGATTGAAAAAGCTAACATTACTTAAGAAAAACTGGCCTTAAAAGGTCTAGTACTAAAGAATCAAGTATAATTCTTCTTTTTATTACTTATCACTTTAAATTCAATAACACCTCACGTTTTCTGTAAAAGAAATATATATGTGTACATATTTATTAAAACTGACTGATTGTTTAACTTTTGTTTCCTTATATCCTTGTTATTTTCTTTCAGGAGAACAAAAATCTCAAATATATCCTAGTTCATACTATATTTAATTATATCCCGCCAAATAATGACTATCATCCTCGTAATAAAACTACTGACAGACCTGTAAAAAACTACCAGATTCTTTTGGACAAACACAATAAAAGCTACTTTAAAATCACTGAATAGACCTGTTGGACAATATACACAACATCCTTTATTACATGTAGTATAAAAATGCATGAAAAATAAAGTATATTGGGCAAACCCAGCGACTCTCAAGGAGCCTTTCAGTAAACATGAATTTTCTATTAACACTAAAAAAAGAAGACATTGGTATTGCTCAATATTTCATCCATCTGGATAATTATATAAAAATATTGTTCTTTTATATATTGAAACTGGATTTAGAACTATAGTAAAAAGATAGGTAAAAACAAGGAAAAATGGATTACGATTTAGAATACTGTTAATACTAATTGAATTCGCCTTGATTCCAAAAACAGTGATATTCTACCTTTAATGGACATACAAGACTGTTCAGTTTAAGAGCTATTATTATTTAGTTTATTTTATAACTAGCTGAGTTACCCAGCATTGCACGGTGAAAATTGAGATTTGAAATGTATAGATAAGTATTTTTTTCAGCAAATTACTCAGTAAGTAGACAAAAGCTGTAATGCAAGAAATAAAAATCATTTAATCAAACAAAGCGTTATATGAAATTAAATCGTGTTTGAGCTTGTATTGTTCTTCGATCCTGAAATCGTACATCATGTT